CCTCATTCTATACTTCCTTAAAACCTTAAAAGCAGCCTCAAGGTATTAGATGTGGTTTGAAGCTTTGAGAATTTTTATCACCATGTCATCTTCATACATCTCCATCGTTTTATTGACAAACATCCTATTAACTAGCTTTTAATAGGTAGCCCCAGCATTCTTCATACGAAAGGCATGATTTTACAACAATTGAGCTCCCTATCTGTGATGAATAAAGTGTTTCCTCATTAGATTGGTGCATGGAAATTTGATCATATCCTGAACAAGCATCTATAAAGCTCAATAGCTCATGCCCTGCTATATAATCCATGAGTTGGCCAATATTTGGGAATGAAAAACTGTCTTAGGGGCATGCTTGATTGAGGTTGGAGAAGTCCATACAGACTTTCTACTTGCCATTGTGCTTTTTCGCCAGAACTAGATTAGATATCATCTTCTAATAGGCAGCCTCTTTGATGAACCAGTTGGATATTAACTTTTGCACCTCCTTCAAGACTTCATATCTTTCTAGGTTTAAGATCCTTCTTCTTTGCCTGTGGAGAGTAAATTTAGGGTCGACATTAAGTTGGTGATAATTAACCTTAGGGTCAATGCCCAACATATCTTTATGAATCCATACGAATACGTCTAAGTTCTTGAGCAGGAAATTTTTGAAGTTTTGCTTGTCCTCCAAGTTCAACTCATTCCCCACCTCGAACATCTTCGTGAGATCTTACAGGTCTAGGGGAAAAATTCTAACTCTTCAATTGGTGCTTGGAAATTTGATTCCATGTTTCTAGGATCTAACCCCGCATCCATAATCCAGTTTTTAGGAATAGTCCCTTCTACAATGGCATCTACTATCTCAATATCTCCCCTTTGCTCAAGGTTGGACCTTTTACAAGTGCGTCAAACATTTCGGTGTTTTTCAAAACTATATTTGTACTTCGAGGATCAAACTTTCATAAGGAGTTAAGGTAGCATTTTCTCTAACCCATTTGATCACCTCGAACAATGGGGATGCCTCGATCGATAGAAATTTCATGCATAGGTAATAGATAGATGTGACTATTCGGAGTTCTTTCAATACAGGTCGTCTTAGCACACAATGATAAGCGGACCTGTGATCCAAAAAAGGGATTCCACGAAATGATGAGCTATCAAAGGGGATGGGAGCTACCATCTCTATACCTAACGTGATTCTTTCCCTGTGACAATGCTTTCACCAATAATACCATATTGACGTAGCCATGAGGTAAGCTCATGATCTATCAACATTTTATCATAAGCGGCTCCAAACAAGATGTTAATGGAGCTTCCATTTCTACTAACATGCGCTTCAAACAATTTCTTACCATAATGGCTCTTACCACCAAGGCATCACAATGGGGGTAATGGACACCTATGGCATCTTCCTGCGTAAATATTATTGGCAGGTTGCTGCCGATCCAACAAGAGTACTATTAACCAAATAGCTTGTCATGGGGGAATCCTTAACCTCTCTAGCATAATTTCTTTGTGTGTTTCTTGACTTTCTTCCAATATGCGGGTCTTCTATTATTGTATCAATCTTTCTAATGGGAACATTGTCCACATCTATATGGATTCGTCTTTGGCCACCTTTTGGCCTATTTCTATCCTCGTCATGTCTCTGCCTAGGCGATTCATCCATTTGATGTCGCCTTACCTTGTCACGTCTAGGTTATTGATCATGCCTAGATAAAGGTGTATTCTATTGGGCATGGCATGTATTCATCCTCCTAGTGTGTGAGTTTGTTGGCTCCGTATGACTTAGTCTGTACATACAATCATTAGTATCGTGACTGTAGGTTCAGTGGTAAGTACAGTATGGCCCATTTCTAGGCTCAATGCTCCTTCATTTGCCTCTGCCTCTGTCCTTAGCCTGTTCAAGGGTGATGCGAACCCCGTAGCAATGTTGACTACGAAACCCACAACGAGATTAACGAACCCAAGAAAGCCAAATTAATCTAAGAGTTTAGGATTAATCCAAAAGAAAGTCGAACCAAAAAACCCAACAAGAACGACGTTTGAAAGATCCCTTGATCACGCAATCCAATAATGAAATCCGGTTGTTTGAACGCCACAATTAACACTTGATAAGTTCGAAGTTGTTCAATAAAGAACAATGAAAAGAAGACAATACGCCTCACTTTAATTCAATATCAAAAATGTCAAAAGTTTTTAACAATTGAATGAAAACTCCTATTTATACTAAACCTAAAAATTAGGTAAAAATCGTGCAAAAGTCGATCATAATCCCCAAAATATGGAAAAGAATAAAAAACTAACAAAATATGGAAACTTGCCAAAATTAGAAAATTTGCCAATTTTTTTGTCCATGCGCCGCATGGTGTATTTTCATGCGGTCGCATGGTTCAACCAAAAATCCATCTTGAGTTTCGGTATGCCTCCATGCGGTCGCATGGTGTTTTAGTTGTGTGGTCACACAGGCTTATTTTCAGCCTCCGGTTTCGTCGCTTGATAACAAATTGATCTAAGTTGATTCGACCCTCGACCCGAACATGAAAGTTGCTCCATTTTGAGTCCCGAACATGGTTCCATCAATGGTTTCTTGAATGAGCAACCCCATCGCTTGTTTCACTTGCTTTGGCCTTGATCAAGTCATTGGTCCGCCATCGACTATCAACGGGTCTCGTCTCACACTCGTCTTCGTCGGGCTCGACTCCTGAATCATCTCAAAGGGTCTTTGCGTATGAGGTCCAACCTTTTCGTAAGCCAAAGATGGTATTAGGTTTAAAGTGGCAGTGACTAATGCTTGGGTGATTGTGTGTCCTACTTAGGTCTATTGTTGGTTTACCAAGTGCGAAATAAGAATTCATCTCTATCTCTAATGTGGTGGAAGCTATATTGAGGTTCGATTGCGATTATCAATCAATTTCTCATTAACAATCTCGCTTCTCATCATTTCCACTGAGTCATAAGAGGTGGGATTTTTATATCGCACATCTCTCTAGAAGACGGTGTTCATATCGAGACCACTCCTCAAAGCTAAAAGGGCTTCCCTATTAGTGACCTGCTCACGATACGTCATTTCATTTGTAAACCGAGTTAAGTAGCTTTCCAAAGTTGCCCGCTTGCTGTCTCATGTTCTGTAACCTCTAGATGAGGGCCTCTCCTTCATTGCTTGACAAGTATTAGTTCAAGAAAACCTTCTTGAAATTCGACCAACTCCTAACACTAATAGTCAGTATGTGGCTATACAAAATTTCGACAACGCCCGTCAATATGAGGTGGAAAGCTCTATATTTTAATGCTGAAGAGGCTCCCTAAGGGATATGTGGGTCTTATAATTGCTAAGGTGCTTCGTCGAATCGTCTTTTCCTTCATATTTGGAAATTTTTCGTAGCACAAAGTGGCTAGGAACATTGGCATTTCTTAGTTCTTATGAAAATGGGAGACTTTCATCATCGTCATCTAATTTAAAACACATGCATGGACCATCTGAACCCTTATTTTCAGTTTGATATTGAAGAAGTTGCGAAATTCAGGTTTGGTTCCTCAATTTTGCAGCATCCATTCTCTCTTGCCTATTTCTAGGCAGAAGGATCCCCTGTGGTTCTTGGCCTTGTTTGTGTCCTTCCTGCCTCTGTATAGGGAGCAATTGCTGGGGCCTATTTCTAGGCCCTGATGGTCCAATTCTATAAAGACATTAGTGGACCTCTGAGGATCCTGCTCTTGGACATATTTTGGGGAAAAGTTTTCTGTTCTGTGTAGTAAGTTATCATCGAGTCTGCTAGAGGTATAGTTTGTTAACATGTCCAACTCCACCTCCCTTTAGATTGGGGCTAGGTTCTCTCCTTACGTCTCAAGGATAAGTCCAATGTCATCCTCCTTCTGTTCTTGCTGGAAAGCCTCCTGCTGGGGCATTTGATACTCGAACCACACCTGCATTTGTATGAGTAATTGTTGTATGACAGCTTTTTGTTGGGCCATGCTCCTCATGTTGGCAGCAATCTCCCTCACGTCCCTTGCTAGCGTGTGGTAGTGCTGTTTCTTCAATGTTGGTCGTAGGGTTGTTGGGTATTGACATTTATTCGAATAACCTCTTCTTCAGAAGCCTTCCCTAGTTAATTTCTACATTGAGAGCCATAATGACTAGAACTCATGATTTAATAATAGTTCTTATGTTAAAGAGAATTTTAGAGATGCCGTTTCAACATTCCTAGCCATTATTTCCCATAGGCGACATCAATCGTTGACTCTAAAAAATGTACCTCTAACGTGACCAATAGATCTCAAGGCCTCTTACGTCCACGAAAACTTTGTTCCTGCATACTTACGCAAATCATTAGCCACACGTGACCTCCTCTGGTAGGGTAGAGTTGGCCGAGCACACTCCAATGATGAAGTCGGTTGGGAAAGAAAAAATATAAGAGTGTGGCAGAGCTTTTGACTTAAGCCTTTAATATAAAGGGGGTCGACTTTGGGTAGTAACAAATAGAACAGTGATATAGCAAAGTTGTAGTGTGAGAGTCTAAACTTGCATTACCTTCACATGGGATTAAGTGTGAGCTTTAATAGTAAGAAATGGTAAAAATAAGTCGTTAGATGAAGAAATACGTGGCATCATCCACGCGATTGATGCATCTTATCTTAGATATCAATCAATCATAAGCTATAAATGTTAATACCATTCTAGCATTCATAATGCCTAACTTGCAACTTTGGACTTGACCTGATGACTGACAATGACGACGTTGATAGTGAATTATCACGTCAATCACTTATCAAAGAGATTGCTTGAAATGTCTTGTGCTAAACTTCTTTTGCAACCTTGCCTCTATATATGGTCCCGCTCTTTCCCATGGGGTTAGTATAATTTTCCCATGGGGTTGACAAGTATATTGGTTCGACCAGATCAACTTCATGATATTTTAATATATTTTGATGTGGTATAAGACTCCTAAGTTTGCCTGCCACGTAATGTAGTTTGGGCCCACGTCAAACTAGGCGTAACAAAACCCAAAGAGAGGCTTGATTAACAATCAGTTAATCCTTCATAAACGTTTTGGAGACAACCTTTAAAGCAAATCAAAAGGCTTTTGATCTTGATAAACTCCGAGAAATTCTACCATTTTTTGACGTTGGATCCACACCCCATGTAAACTTTGCTTTGAAGCCTCAAAATCTCTCAAATCAAATGTCATGTCCATTAATTAATGAATTTCCATTTCCAGTAAGCTTATTCAGATGTATTCTCATTTCTCAGCAATGATCCCCCTCCCTTCCCTTCTCTCACTTCTACTTCACTCTCTCTCTCTAATTTTTCTTTTTGAAGATAAAAGAAACAATTTTGAAGGGGTGTGTGTGTTTTTGGGGAAATGGGTTCCTGTGTTTCGGTGCACAAAGATCGGGAATCCGCCGTGAAACCCCGGCTGTCATTCGGCTCCAAAAAAGATAAGCTTGTGATCACCGGCGGGGATCCTATGGTTGCTGATGTGGCCCTCGAATCTAACCCAACATACATTGTTCGTGATTTTGGTAAGACATCGTCTTCTTTCTTGCAATTTTTCTGGAATTTTCATTTTTATTGTGTGTGAAAAATTATTTTTCTTTTTTCCCCCTTTGAATTAGTAATGCAAATGGTAATGTGGATTATTTATAATTTCAACCCTTTAGCTTCTTGTTATGCACAACATATTTTAATCTGAAAAAATTTTTGGGAATTTTAAAAAATTTTTTTTTTTTTTTTTTTTTTTTTTTTTTTTTTTTTTTTTTTTTTTTTTTTTAAAGGTGAGGTTCCTTGTCTTCTTGTAGATGGATCTATTTAAGTTGTGAACTTTGAAGGGTTTTTAATGCAAATTATAATTTTTCTTCTTTCAGGATATTTCCTTATATTTGTTAGGACAAAAGATTGGAATATAATTAACTTGGTATATTTTCAAATAAAAATGATGTTATGATGGTTGTGAGTAATAGATTGAATGATGTTCGTAGAGTTCACACGCTACCAAGAGGATATAGTTTTTGTATTGATAACTTCATGCAAAAATATTATAAGCATATGCATAATTTGTAGTTCAATCACTTTTGGGATTTATATTCCTACTTTTTGCATTATAGATGCAGCATGCAGAGAACCAACCAATATAACCTACTTAACTTGCCTAAAATTTTCAAAATTTCTTGATGATAGTCGTAGTAGTTCTTTTAGTTAACTCTAATGCGGGTCTAGGTGTTCTGTTTCGTAATTTTGGGACTTTTACTTTATTTCGCTTTTCCGTTTTTGGAATAACGGGATGGATAGAGATATCGTTATGCTTCTTATGTTCGGTTAAGGAAGGTGTAGAGTTAGTGACATGGCCATAAATTGATATTTTTGAATAAACTAGAAGGTGTTCTATGGGAATTAGTTATTGTGTCTTATTGAATGACCAGTGGATCTTTTTCTGATTCATGGCTTGATATTTATGTTTTAAGCATTTTCCAGCATGGTGTTAAATTCAAGTTGATGGACCTTGTATACTTGTGCCTCGATTAGAAAATTTTAAGAGTGTAGCCACTCCCATCCAACACCTATTGACTATAGTCATATGGGCAGTAGATTTGGTAGAAAAGAGTGCCCCCTGCAAAAGTTACAAACAGAAAGAAATAAGAAAAGTGAAATGGAAAAGAAAAGAGTTTATCGTAATTAATTTCAACTTTCACTGATAAAACCATTATTTGGAAAAAAAAAAAAAAAAAAAAAGGTTTTGAATAGTGATTTTTAAGAGAATGTACGGTTAAAAGTAGTAAAAGTTTTGGGTTTATGTGCAGAATATTTTATTGTGAGAAAATGTGGTTGAAAATGAGTTTATAGAAATAAGAGTTTTCAAATAATGATGGTCAAATAGTGTCATAGTTATTTTAGAATGAATTTATTTACTTTGGGTAAAAATTTTAAGCTTAGAAAAACATACTCTGCTATGATGAAGCTTTGCTCTGTAAAATTTGTGATACTGAAGGGAGATGTGCCTTGATATATTGCAGGTAGCAAAGAGGAAGCCTTCTTTGATTCTCAGCTTTGGTTAGAGTCAGATTGTGAAGATGATTTCTCTAGTGTTAACGGTGGTAAGACGTGTTGTAATATTAGATATCCGACAATCTTTCGGTTCCAACAGAGATAACAAATTTGCCTTTCTCCCAAAAGAAAAGGGACAAAACCAGTGTCCAGGATTTTCATTCTTTACTAACAATCAATATATCTCATAGAAGGAGTCTGTTAAGTAGACCGATAGAAAGGCGACTCCCTTGGTGACAAAGACAAACATAGTGATTGACTTGAAACAAAAGGATAAAGTCAGGCAATTGGTTTTTCAACTTCCATATTTGATTTCGTTATGGCTCTTGCCCAGTCATCACATTATTAGAAGATTTTAAGGTAGAAAACTGCTGTTGAGTGGAGATCATTACACGTCTTCTCGATCTCTACAGCACTTTAACATCAAATTTTCTAAATTCTTGTTCTTGCTGGGTACTTGTTCATCTTCATTTTGTTATTATTGAACTCTAATATCAACATTTTGTTGTCGTGAATGCAGATTTCATTCCATCTCTAAGTAGCACACCAGTTCATCACTGCTTTTCTGTAGAAAACCCTGTTTCTGTACCCCTGTCATCTTCTGCAGATAAGAAAAAGAAACTCTCGGACCTCTTAAAGGAGAGGTTACAAGTTGATCATGATTTGGACGAACAAAATGCATCTGGTAACCAAAATGTGGATGATGCAGAAGTGAAAGCTGTGGTACCAAGTATTGTCCTCCCACCAAAATCTGCAGTTGTCTCGCCTGATGTTCCGGGAGCTAACTTTGCGGATACTACTGAAAGAACATTGAATGGGCTGTTCAGCCACGATGACAAATCAGTGAAGTCTCGCCTTCCAAGGTTGATATCAAGCCGTAGCTTTAGCGAAAGGAAAAAGAGGATGAACCTTTCACGTAGAGAGAAGAATTGGGTGCGGAGTTTTTCCACAACTTATATGCGAAGAACCCATTCCCACAACTTTTAACAATGTGATTGAGTATATATTTGAAAATGTTAATACTGTTATAAATTGGAAAGAAAAAGAGAGAACGAAGCCAATAAACTGATGTATTCTATTAAGAATCAAAGTCTCATATTTAAGGGGAAGAATTAGGGTTACAATGGGTACAATAGTCATAATGATTAGGACGGTTGGGGTATAAAAGTATTCATAAATATTACTATATTTACAACAATCATCGTTGAATGACTATTTACACAATAAATATCTCATTGAAATATTATTTGGCAAAAATTTGATTGGACAAAAATGAGAACAAATGAAAAAAGATTATTAATAATTTAGAGTATAGTATTAAATATATGAAAGAAGACTATAATCAAATTATATCAAATTTCATGCATTATTATGCTAACAAGGTAGAGACATATTATTACATGCACCGCGTGATAACTTATTTACTTATATAAGTTTTTGAAAATTCATTATATAAAGAGTTGTACATTTCATATCACGATTTTAGTTTTTTCATTTCCATTTGAGATAAGTATACACATTTAGGTGTTCAAACTGTAGATCCAGAAATTTCAGATTTATCTAGTAAGTTCAATTTTACAAGGATCGCGTGTAAATTCAATTTTAGTATGATAACGTAATTTTATTTCAATTCCTCACGATTCATAATATGACGCAGTACATCATGTGCAACAGTGTTGTCAACAATTTTTCTTTTTGATTTAAATTCTTTCCTCGTAACGACGTAATATATTGAGATATTTCAATTTTCAACATATCAAGTACCTGAATCTCTTTTAGGGTTTTCTGATTTGTTATGTTTAAATACTCATCTAGATTATGTGCCTCCTTAATGAGACTATTTTTGCTAATTGCTCCATTTTTATTTAAATTTTTTTGTATTAGAATCGAATATTGTCATGTTTTAGACGTGTCATTAGTATATAAAATCTAGTGCTAATGAATTATCCTTCTAGAATATCAATTCGTGTTAGAGTATTTAAAACTAGTGCGTGAAACGTTAATTTCTCTGGTCAATAAATATATCTAAGAAAAATTACCTTTCAAACTTTGGGTTCAAATTATCTTTTGTGAGGATAATGATACATCTGTATATTATTTTTAACTTCTTAATTCATCTCCTAATGCTGAGAAAATTGTCCAATCAAATTGTCAATTGTTTTTACTGTGTTATATAAAGGTTCAAAGTACGCATTTATTCTCAATATTCTTTACTTTTCCATCTCAATACGTCTTGGTAAATCAATTTTATATATACTGCACTATCAAAATAATTAGATGAAAAAATTAGGCTCTAAACATAAGCCAATTATAACAGGAAAAACTATAATATTAGCAAGATGCGTAATAACATTTCCAAAATAAAAATGAAATATACTTTTTTTCTCATTTAAATTAATTGGAGACATTTAATAAGCAATAATGTTAAACAATTTAACAACATCTCAATTAAAACTTATTAGAAGGTTGAGTTTTAGGATTACTAGCATTAACAATATATACCGTTTTGATTGTATAATCTAAAAATTATGCTTAAAATTTAAAATTTGAGCAGTAATTTAGCAAATTTCAAGGTGCGATTACCATGCAATCATCTATTAAATGTATCAAATCTATTAGGTAAAAATAATATTTAGATAATCAACGTGGAGGATGATATGGTCCCATTTATTATTCTGATTAATTTTCAAACATATAGGTAATTTAATCCCTATTTTAGCTAGTTCTATTTAATGATCGGTTTTTCGATAAATAACAAATAATATATAGAAATTCATTAAATTGGAGAATTTTCGGGTTTTGCATTGAATGTCTGTTTGAATTTTTAATTTCACATCATTATTGATCCAATGATTGTCCAATTGCTCATGCAAAATAATAATACATGTAATAATTGAACTTCTAATTTAATACAATATTTCAAATTTGAATAACTATTTAATCAAATAAAAGACATAATTAATTCTTAAAAATATAATTAACTATATATAATTATATAAGAATCAATATCCACATAACATTTGTTGTATGTGTTTCCTTTATGGATAAACATAATTTCATAAATTACACTTTTCGAGATGTGTTACTTTGAGAGCAATTTGTATTTTTTTGTTACTTTATCAAGAACAATATGTTAACATTCTGTGAAAATGTGAATATAATATTGTGTTACTTCAAGAACAATAATATTTTATTTATTCATAGGAGCAAAAATATAATGTATTAGATCTCATAAAATTGTGCTCTTTGAGAGTAAGTCATACTCTAATACAATATTGATATTTACAGGGTCTTGCTTCTTCAGAAGCAACAAGACGATATGTATCAACTTATGAATATATATATAAATAAATAAATAAATAAATATATATATATATATAATCTAAAAATTGATTGGATTCACAGAGAACGAATATCAATTTAATATATAATAATTATATAATGACACAAATAATTGCTTACGACCAACCACAAAAATTGTTACCAAGTTGATTCCAAATATTCTGTGATTACACACACACAAAAAGTTCCATGAAAATTCCTGCCCCACTATTGGATGTGTAAGCTATGATTAGGTTACAAGACATACTATCAAATTCTATCACAATATTCAAGCAAATGGATATTTTGAGCGTAGATAGCAAACTTGGGAATTAGGTCACCAAAATTGATGTGGTTACCAAAATTGATGTGGTTTAGGCCACCATTCTTTGATGTAAAAAAAGGGATTCGTGTAATCACTTCACTGGAATTTATTATAGTATAAAAAAGGGCCTTTTTGAAGAGAAATTATGCTGATAATGTGTCATAAATTAAAAAGAAGAAGAGAGAAGTCAATAAACTTATGTAATTTATTAAGAATCAAAACCCCATATTTATCGGGAAGAATTAAGGTTACAAGGGATACAACCGTCATAATGACTAGAATTGAACGAATATAAAAGTCATTCATAAACACTATTAAATTTACAATAAATACATGATTGTTACCCTATTGATTTTGTGTGTGTGTGTGTGTGTGTGTAAAACAGTGTACTATTATTCCATAGAAGCTTGATTACTAGAGTAGCAAGTTGTTCTCTCTATTTTTATTTAGCAATAAACAATATTACGAAGTTCGTAGCTGAAAATCGAACAATTATACAATATCTGCCTTATGTAAAACAAAAAAATTATACTATGTTCACATAAGCAATAACCGATTCTATTGTAACACAATATTTTCCTCTTGTATGAAAAAGGCCGGTATCTCTTGTGGTTTTTGTCCCCTATCATATTTTGAAGAAGATGATGAATCCCATGTTTAGTGATTTGGACCCATTGGTATTTTCAGACGATGTGAAAAAAGAAGAGAAAAAGGTACAATGTTGTTATTGTAGTGGAATTTTGCTAGTTCCCGGTTGTACAATGTAGCATTTTCCATTGTAGTGTGCAAGTTCTGAATATAAATATTGTTATTTTATTAATGAAAATTGTATATCTGTTAGACTTTAGTAAAAGATAAATTTGACTTGTTGAAAACGATATATTAAAGCATAACTTAAATAAATAAGTTTATTCCTTTCCTAAGTTTTAACCTCTTTCAACAATTTCTTTAGGCAATGTAACTTGTTAGTTAGCCAAGAGGTTACAAAACTTTTATAATAATTCAATCTAATACCTATAGTGTTTAACATCGTCTTAGATATCATTATATCATAAGTCTTATTAAATGAATCATAGATTCTTATATTTAATTGAATATATAATTTTATGACAAAAGATCGTCTCCAATGAAACACCAAATTTGGTGTAAAACACCCCTCTGATGACACATCAATTTTGGTGTAATTCATTATTTCTATTTTGCCTTCCTTTTTCTATTACAACAAATTTTTGTTCCTTCTGCATAATTTTTTTTATCCTTTTAGAATTAATTGATTTAAATTTATTTATAATTGTTTTAATGTGCTAGTTATTTTTATTCTTAAATTCTAATCAAGTAATAAGTATTGATACAATAAATTAATATAGTTTATTAAATATAATTTTTAATTAAAAGATTTTAATAATAATATAATTTTTAATTAAATAATTTAAAATAAATTGATTGCTGAAAAATAAATAATAAAAAATATTGAAATATTATCCATTTGATGTAAAATTTGGTGTAACTATTAAAGAAGTTACATCAAATTTAATGGGTCTTACAGTTTCTCAACTATACATTTCACAATCTTTTATCAAAATCTATTAAAAAATTTAATTGTAATCCCTATAGAAAAACTGAGTTGTACATGACGTGTCAATATTCCATTTCCATTCCCAACCAGCTAAAATCCAGACCACGTAAGACAAGGCAAGAAATGGCTCCCCATAGTCTGTCCAGTTTTGCTTTCTTTACCTTGTGCACTTTCCTTATAGTCCTGCATTTTGAAACATTTTGCTGGACTCCCGGCCATTCTGCTTCAGTAGATGATAATCCTGACCCGGCGGCGAGAGGTATGTGTGCAGCGGCGGTTGCTGTACATGGTTACGAGTGCCAGGAGTTTGATGTAAGGTCTCAATGAGAGAAACAGAGTTTATTGCGCTGACTAATTATAACAGCTAATGTTCAAAGCATGCCTGTCCCAGGTATTAACTGATGACGGGTATATATTAAGCGTGCAACGAATTCCCCACGGCCGCGTTGGAGGTGGCAGTGGTGGGCCAAATAGGCCGCCAGTGTTGTTGCAACATGGGGTTCTTGTGGTAAGTATCATGTTTTTGTATCAACATGTTTGGCTAAGCTTATAACTTATAAGCACGTTAAGAGGTGATTAGTTTGGCAGTACTGCTTTATTACTGAACTGGAGTGGTTAGTATAGTACATTAGTACTGGACAGTACAGTACTGATGTTAGGTGTTACAATAAAGATGATATTATCTCTTTAAGATACATTAAATTTTATTAAGGTTTGGATCCATCTTAAAAGTCAATTGTGTTAAGGGAGTAGTCCATATCTTTATAAATTGGCCTATATTTTCATTTTTATTCAATGTGATATATTCATCCCTTAACAAATATGATTCTGAAGTACAACACAAAATATACCATCTGATTTCTGAGAGGATCTCCCCAGGATAGATTTCCCAAGGAAATATGATGAATTTGTCAATCCAGAGAGAATGATGAATATCATCTCAAGGTCCTGTGTTCTTGATTTGTCTCGATGCTTCACGTGTTGTACAGTGCCATAGATTCTAGTCAACACAGAACTGTGGTTTCGGTAGGAGAGTTGGCATTTTCTTGTAATTTAACAAGAGTATTTATGTTTTTGTTTATATTCTTGTGATTTCATGTAGTTTTTTTTTTTTTTTTTTTTTTTTTTTTTTGGTATATAATTCTGTTTGTCATTTGTTTATATTGTTGCTGAAGTAAATGAAACTGTGGATGGTCAATTCTGGTTGCAGGATGGAATGACATGGCTAGTAAATCCTCCAGAACAATCTTTGGCAATGATATTGGCTGATAATGGCTTCGATGTGTGGATTTCCAACATCAGGGGAACCAGATTCAGCAGGCGACATGTGACTCTTGATCCTAGCACGCCGGTATTTTTTGTTCCCAATTATCCTTAATATTGAATAAACAGAATCTAATTTTAGTGTTTTAACCCTAAATTAGGAATTAACTTATCATCTGTAGAGACATCAAAACGTGTCGGATCAAAAAGGTAAAAGCTTGGTCTAGGCATGGCCGGTTTCCTGGCATAGCAAAATCCTGGCACAGGCTCAGCTGTCTTTGAGGTGAGCTGTGCCTGACCCGGCTACGTTGGCACTCTTCTAAAAGAAACACTTGTGAACAAATGAAAGCACGTAGGTCTGCCTTGCTTAAAATAAAGGGACACGGTCGTCTCAACACCAGGCTGGCCCGTTCTACACCTCAACAATCACATGCATCCTTAGCCATGATTGACTATATCAGTTGATCTAATTACCGTACTACGTATTGGCTTTTGAACTTCAAGAATTTATAATGAGAATACAGCTTGTTGGATTGGTATACTAGGCAGTAGGCTTAGAATTTTATCGTACTAAACTCAAACTGGGCAGGAATTCTGGGATTGGACATGGGATGATCTAGTGTTTCATGACCTACCAGCTATTTTAGAGTTCATGTTCAAAAAAACCGGGCAGAAAATCCACTACGTAGGCCATTCCATGGTAAGATCAGAATCTTGGAAGAGCACAAGCTCTCCAAGAAAGCTAAAGAAACCGATATATATTATCTAATTGAAACATTAATGATTATTGAATAAATATTTACAGGGAACTTTGATTGCCCTGGCATCCTTCTCCGAAGGGAAACAAATAGACAAGGTCAGATCGGCAGCATTGCTGAGTCCAATTGCATACTTGAGTCATATGACTACAGAGCTTGGTGTTCTTGTAGCAAGAGCTTTTGTTGGTGAAGTAAAAGCTATTTTCATGATTCGTTCGTTCGTTCGTTCTGGATTTATACATGTTAACGATATAAATATTTAGTTTCATGGGATGCTATCTATATGGAAAAATTTCCACATCATTAACAAGCATGTTTTGCTAAGCTTTGTCAGTTTCACTAATATGATAGGGTAATTTAAGGGAAGTTACTTATAAGGTAAACCCTTAAATTAACGTGGAAATAAGTAACTTAATTCTAATTTTGATCAATAAAATATTATTTATTTATAAGTTACTTGTCATAAAATTTTAAAGCTCAGCCAAACATGTTTTCTTGTATTACGTAGGTAGAATTGTAATTTATGAATACTTTAAACGCTCATGTCTTCCAATTAATGTCATCAACAGATCACTACAATGTTTGGACTTGCCGAGTTCAATCCTAAAGGGTAAAGAACCTTGGAATATTAATTCAACTTGCAGCTTTATTACGATCATTTGTAATTTTCTCTTGTTCTTTCAAATTAAGGGAGCCTGTGTCCAACTTTCTCAAGGCCTTGTGTACCGACCCAGAGGTGGACTGTTACAACTTGCTAGATGCGCTTACGGGTAATTATTTGTATATTTTTTGTTTTTTTAGCTGGATTTTACAGTAATAGACAACAATAAGGATGAAAATGCAGCTAAAATTATTGTCTAGTTGGATAAGAAATGTGCACTGACAGATGTTCTGTTTATAATTTTCTAAATGCAGGGAAGAACTGCTGTCTAAATAACTCCACTGTTGAGCTTTTCTTGAGGAATGAACCTCAATCTACTGCAACTAAAAATCTAGTTCATTTGGCTCAAAGTAAGTTTTTTATTAATTTGATAAGTTTTTGATCCCTCCTTTATACAACCCAGAATTTCAGGATTCGGGATAGAGAGATTCATTCTGTGTGTTAATCACGCCAACTGTCCTTTTAGCGCAATTTTATGTTGATTACTAAAATGACATTTTTGTTTCAAGTTGTTCGTTGAACTTTGATTGCTAATAGAAAAGCTGACGAGTTAGTCTAGTTAACAAGAAGTAACTAGACGGCCACATGAACCTTTCCTTTAGTCAAACTAAAGAACATTGGCAAAGTAATTAAGCGTATGTTTGCTTCATGTTTATAAACATTCAAACCGCCTTTTATCCACATATATAATAGGACCACAAGTATAACTCACCTATTTACCACTCTTTTCCATCTATTTATTAACATAACCATTTATAAACATTCTCAAGCATGCTTTAAAATATAACGAATTTTACAATTACCGACCAACTTGAAATAAAATAACGTTTAGTGCCAATGAAGACCTCAACGGAAAACATACATGTAAATAACTCAGTTTTCAATCAACAAGCTTAATTTCATTTAGTATAAATTTGAAGTTGGCTAGATAATTAACTCCATGATACGTCAAAATTTATTATTTGAAGCTGTTCGGGATGGAATCCTATCGAGATATGACTATGGAAATGCTGACTTCAACGAGAAGCATTATGGCAAGCCAAAACCTCCGGCTTACGATTTGTCAAAAATCCCCAGTGATCTGCCCATCTATCTGAGTTATGGAGGGGAAGATGCACTCTCTGATGTAAAAGATGTGGATATTTTGCTTGATAGTCTTAAATTACATGATGAAGACAAGATCCATGTTCAGTATATAAAGGATTATGCACATGCAGATTTTATAATGGGGGAAACGGCCAAGGATATTGTTTACAATAAGATTATAGCATTTTTCAGAAATCAGCAGTAAATTTCTTGATTTGGGGTGTTACTTGTAAGAGGACAGTAATTATCATATGTGAATAAACCATTCACAGAACTTCGACGAGAGACTTGACGTAATTGTTTATTATTTATATTTCTTCTCGATGTTGCCACACATGTAAAAGGTAAGATTCCACACATGTCGCCCGATCGACAAATGAAAATTATGGGGAAACCTCTCTTAGTTTCAAAGCGAAGTTTCCAGTTCTTGTTGAACCACAATAATTTGCTTAGGAAACAATCTAAAAATTTTACTGCAATTAAGTCAAGTCTACAATGTACAACTTGTAGAAAGATTATGATGATAGTATTCTTTGAATGAAAGGTAAGAAACTACTCCATTCCACTAATATATATATTCAGTATTCTGAACACCAATGTCTGTATCAGGTGAGTATTCTTTGAATTAATCAGAAGAAAGGAAAATAAATATGCAGATTTCTTGCAGATTTTTGTTGGTGTTTATACTTGCAGCAATATTGATTAAGAAAGAAGCTTGGGGAAAGCAACATGTTGTGGGAGGAAGCCAAGGATGGGATGAATCGACAGATTACGATTCATGGGCATCTTCTCAGACATTCAAGGTTGGGGATGAACTAGGTATGGTTATGGTTTCCTCTCTCTCTCTCTCTAAAGAAAAGAGAGTGGCAATTGAACCAATTCTGATGGCTAAGTTAGAACGTAGAACTGAAAAGCTACATAAAAACAGAGAGAACAACATTCTTCTAATTCTATGTTCATTCAAGAAAAGTCCAAGATCCTAAGAGCCCATATATTAGAAGTTCAGGAATTAATATTGATTTTTCATTTTCAGTGTTCAAATACACTCCGGGACTGCACAGCGTTGTCGAACTTGGCAGTGAAAGTTCATACAAAAACTGTGATATTTCGAGTGCATTGGATTCATTGAATGGAGGAAGCAATACGGTCAAATTAAACAAACCTGGTACACGCTACTTCACCTGTGGAACATCGGGCCACTGTGGCCAGGGAATGAAGCTCAAAATCACGACCGTCGCCGGAAATGGCACCGCCACTAGTACTCCGGCATCGCCATCGTCGACTACTTCGACTTCCGCCGCCGTCCCTACTAATTATGAGTCTTTCGGACTTTTCGCTTTGGTTGCTACATTGCTAGTGACTAGTATGATTTTCAATGCTTGAGGGAGGTTTGCGTATTTGATTTTGATTTATTTTGTAAATTTATGAAATTGGGTTTTTTTATGTATTATTAATTATATAATAAAACGGCAGCCGTATATTTGTTTTTATTTATGCTTTCATTTCATTTTTTGGCACGTTCAATGTGTTCAACTAGATTGAGGCAAGTTGATCGAGTAAACTAGGTTGGAATTTTTAAATTATGAAAATAAATTTAGCGAAGTTCAATTTGCTTGTAACGATAAATAAATGATGAACAAAAAGAACATTTTGTTTGATTTCATTGAAATACAATGATTCTTCCATCTTTGAATTATTGAAAAGAGTAAAAAAGGGATTTTGTTCTAAAATAGAACTTCTGGCATTGGATTTCATGAACAGTCTGTCTTAATCATCTATTAGAAATGAACATAACTTTGATACCAATTAATATAAGCATGAATAATAAATAAATGATGAACAAAAAGAAAGACCCATAAAAATGTTGATTCACAATAAAATGCCATGAAATGTTTGTCGATTCTTTGCAAGAATATCAAATATTCGATTTGATCAACAAATCGATCACTTAATAAAAAAAAAAAAATAATAAAAAGAGGTTTTAGAAATGAAATTTTTCTTCCCTGGTGGCTTAAATCTTGCAAGTAATAGCTTTTAGCGATAGAAAACCTTTCGTTAGTAAAATGGTTAGTGAAACCCTAGCGCGCTAATTTTTCAATGAATTTCTTATTCTATCGAAAAATTAGCAACAAAAATTTTGTTGGTGTTTACCAATGGAAGAAATTCGTCGACAAATTTTTTTTATCAGTGTTTCCAATGGAGATTTTCTGAGCTAATTAGCAACAATATTGGCACCAACTTACCCGAGCAAATTACCTATGAATTGAGGAGTCAACAATCAGCAAAAAATTTGAGTATCTATTTCTGTCGCTAATTTGAATAACAATTTTAAAAAAAAAAATTGTAATCTTTATGTAAATATTTCTTTCTTGGAAACATACTAAAAAATGCTGAAGTTCAAATTTTAATACACAAAGTAAGTGTGAGAAATTTCAAATATATCTGTTCAGTTTTTCTAATTTAAAGTTCGAAACAGTATATATGTAATTCCCAACGTATAGGTCTATTGTCAAATACCCCTATACCTTTTCAAATTGGCTAAAACCCCCCATATATGAACTTTGAATTGCTGAAGACCCCTTTTTTCATCTATTTTCTCAACAAACCATTGTGAAATGATTACATACCATCCTATTTAAATTAAAAAGAAAATAAATAAATAACTAATTTCAACTATAGTCCCAAAATTTTAAAAAAGTACAAAGGAGTCCCAAATAAATAATTTAAAAAATTAAAATGCAAATTAAAAAATTCCTTTCTTTCCCCTCCCCACCACCACCAGAAAGTAACTGCAAAATTCCAATTTATTTTATTTTTATTTTTTGGTCTTCGTGATCAAAGATTTGCAAGTCATGCTTGATAAGTTCAATTAAATGAATGATATAACATTATATTTAACATTTAATGTAGTGCAATTATCACTTAAATTGGTGTTTGATACCAGTGGTACATGTATCTTTAGCACTAACTGATGAATGGACCTAAGGTGAAGTGCAACATAGGAACAATTTTTGCAAGGATTTTGCCACTTAGTCAAAAGAAATTTAACAGATGTACTGACATAATCCAAGATGACAGGAAATAATTTGATGGAAAAAATTGTCTGTACTTAAAATAATCCAATGATGGAATATCATGTGGCACTATATCAAAAATTATATTGAGACATCTGATATTGTAGTTTTTTTTTTTTTACAAGTAATTTTAGGGCTTTTCTAAACGCAAGAAATATGTACACTAGATTTTTGGTTACAAATTCTTCTATTATAATTAATATTGCTCACTCACAGAGTAATATATTCATCAAAATTATATATAAAGTTACTTGCATTGTTCAATTGGTGTTGATCTACGTTTGGCTAAGCTTAAAAGACAGAAATTTTAATTTAAAACATTTTGAATATGTTATATTTTATTTGCATGTAAAAACGTTTACTTATTTTTGCTTAAAATTTCGAAAATAAATCTAAATTCCCTAATTTCCTTAGTAATTCTTTTCTTTACAAGTTAATAATATATAGATATTAAGTTTTGCTCAATGGATATATTTCTAAAAACTAGTCAAAGTTTTCAGTTTATTGAAATTCAGGAGACTGAATATTAATATTGTCGAAATTTTCTAATATATTAATAAAGAAAATTTAAATTTAAACGTATATGATTTTTATTAATGTAAAAATAAATAAAGTTTTATTCAATAAAATATAGATCGACGTTAAAAACACTTTTCCATCACCTGACATGATTGTTGATTCATCTAGGAAAAAAAACATGGAATCTATATTACTTATTATAAAAATAAAAACGATAAATCCTAATTCTATTGAATTATTTCCATTTTTAGATAATAAAAAAAAAACATTGAATAATGTTGTATAAATCCTTATCCTCTAGGTGTATTGGGTAGTGTTTCTAGTTTATTCTATTAAATGTCGTCGATTCAATAATTATTGATGAGTTTTTTTATGTTTCAAATTACATACTTTATCCCACATTCCATAAATTTTGTTACTGTTCGATTCTTGTTAAACGTTAAGAAATTTAGAGTTTTAGAATAAATCAAAATTATTTTTGTCCTGATTCCAGCTAATTTATCGAAATTTAGTTGGTTCTATAATAATATTTTGATTAACCCGCCATTAACAAACCAATTTAATTGAATTAACAAGTATTCGAAATAGTCAACATCTTTACTCCTTCAAACAGAAATCTGTAAATTAGAAAATTCACACAATTCTTGATGATTCACAAAAAAATAAACCCTAAAAGTATAAAAAGTTGAATTATATATATATATCTAGAACAAGTTTATTAGATCTAGTTCAATTTTATCATTTTACATGAAATTTGTATCCAAGACTTTTTAACCACGAACTCTTTCAATTTTTATCAAAATTTTGATTTTTATATAGTTCAAAAATGAAATAAATAGAATATGAATATATAAGAAGCACGTGAGATATAGAAAATCTCGTACTTTAGTCTTTAGCTATGCTGACCATGTGCTATATATAAAAACAATTATATATATATATCTAGAACAAGTTTATTAGATCTAGTTCAATTTTATCATTTTACATGAAATTTGTATCCAAGACTTTTTAACCACGAACTCTTTCAATTTTTATCAAAATTTTGATTTTTATATAGTTCAAAAATGAAATAAATAGAATATGAATATATAAGAAGCACGTGAGATATAGAAAATCTCGTACTTTAGTCTTTAGCTATGCTGACCATGTGCTATATATAAAAACAAGTTTATGTCAAAAATGCATAAAGCTACTGGTTGCTACACATGCACTGTGGGTGTTTGCTTGCTTGCTGCCAGAAACAGGAGAAAATCTTCAGTAGGGCGGTCGCATCGTCCACGTGGTACGAACACTTAATGTCGATTAAAATTAAATTTTTAGTAAATTTTAATAAAAATCGATAAAATATTGAACTGAAAAGTTGTGGACAAAATGAAATATATTGGCACAATACGAAAATGTGAACAATAATAAAATGGTCTTGTTCTTAACACACGAATAAGTATTTGCTTGAATTTTGCTCAAATGGATATGAGAATATATTTGGAATCCTCCAAATAACAAAAAATTGAAATATCCTATTAATTAAGAAAAATGAATGTTTGATTTTACAAACTTAACACGTATTTATAGATTCAACATAAATCCTAACCACATTGAAAATTTAATTCTATAGGTAAATCCAAATAAAACTAAAAAACTGTAAAAGACGAAAAATGCTTTTGAATTGTATTCACAGATGAAAATTCAACAATCGAGCTTAGAGTTATGCGCGTTTTCGAACATCCTTCTTAGTCTTTCGTTTTTCTAATTGGTTCAAGATTTTCTCTTCTAATTGATTAGCATTATATGTGATTAAAATTAATTGTTAATTTTGATTTAAATTATAATCTATATTTTAATTCTCATCAAATAGGGGCATAGTTTTTGGTAGGATTAAAATCAAAATTTTAGTAAATTTTGATAAAAATTGATAAAATATTTGGTTAAAAAATTAAGAGTCTCATAATATCTATTATTGAAATTAATTGTTGATTTTGACTTTGATATAGGGCAAACCCTCTCAACCCCTTTCCCTGTTCATTTAACCTTAACCGAACCATGCTAGAGTACCAGAATAATGGAACCAATGTCACATGACACTATATCTTTGAACTGTTTAAAATATAGTAATCTTTTTTCATTAAATCACCTCTCGCTACCTAAGATTTTGGCACTATTTATGACATTAATATTCTGGCAAAGTGGTTTAACCTTGACCACAAAACCATTCACCCCTTCTCCTTTCTAGTTCTATGAGTGATAGATATGACATTTCTTCTTACCTAAATCAGCTACTCAATATAATACATATATAACATACACACACACTAACTTACAATGAATTTCACGTTCACTACAACTTTCCATGTTCACATTAAAAGAAATTTTCCATAAACCTTTCTCTTTTTGTATTATATATTTGCTTGTCTTTTATTGTAGTTTATCCACCTCATTGATGGTATGTGTTGTATGTTTTAAGAATGATGATTTGCTTATCATTGTGGCCAGAAACAGTTGTCCAAGTTCAACTATACTGTATCATATGATAAGTCACTTTTAAGACTTATTATGAATCAAATGGAGAGCAAGAAATTCAAATGGGTAATGAAGGTTGATCCAAAGAGGTTGAAAAAGGAAAGGTTGTTATTATCTTTACTTCCAGAAAAATTATTATCTTAACAAATGTATTACATGTTCTCAATATGAATAGGAATTTAGTTAAGGTGCATTTGATCGCCAATATTTTCCATGAAAATAGTTTTTCCACCTAAATTTCTACTTTTGTACTGTTCGATTGATGTTTTTTCCATAAAAATTATTCTTCTACCTTTGGTCATGTGACCATATATTTTCCTAAGAAAACAAGAAAAATATTTTCTTTGGTGAAGTAGATTTTTATTTTTCAGGTAATT